GAACAAATCTGTGACCTATAAAATTTTTGGATTCGTGATCCAAAAATATTCTGTGACCTATAAGTTCTTTGATTTGTGACCTCGAACAAATCTGTGACCTATAAAATTTTTGAATTCCTAACCCAAAAATATTCTGCGAACTATAATTTTTTGAATTTGTGAGCAATAATGTGATCTATGACTTATAAAATTTTGATTTATGACCTCGAACAAATCTGTAACCTATAAAATTTTTAGATTCGTGACCCAAAAATATTATATGACCTATAATTTTTTGAATTTGTGATCAATGATGTGATCTGTAACTTACTAAATTTTGATTTGTAATCTCGAATAAATTTGTGACCTATAAAATTTTTGGATTCGTGACCCAAAAATATTCTGTGACCTATAAATTCTTTGATTTGTGACCGAAAAATAAGTTGGGATCAATAATTTGATAAGTCATGACTAAAAATTAATTTGTGACTAATTAATTTTTTAATTTGTGACCAACGAAAAAACTGTGACCTACAAAACTTTTGAATTGTGATCATATAATAATTTGTGATATAAAATTTTTGATTTGTGACCAAAAAATAATAAATGACTAGTTGAATTGTTAATTTGTGACCAAATTATACAAATATGTTACCTAGATATATTTAATTAATAAATTATTTAATTAATTAATTAAATCATAAATAAATTATAATAAAAATCTGATTTTTGAAGTTTGAAACTTGTTTTCTTAATTTTGAAATATGGTATACTTAATCTCTTCCTTGTGAAATTTTCCCCTGACTCAAATCAGAGAGTTGGCCCAGCTCAAATCCTCTCCCCGCCTTCGATGGGCTTTCCTTACCCTTCGTGGTCCAATTAAAAACCCAACAAAGGCAAAGGCAACCCAAGTCTTACTCTGATTGTGAGTTAGCCCAGCCCAAACATATAACCTCGTTTTTCTTCCCGTCTTAGATGGGCTAACCTTACTCTTCGTGGTCCAATTAAAAGCCCAACAAGCAACCCAATTCGGACTCATATCAACGGAGTTGGCCCAGTCCAGAACATATGCCCTCGTTCCTTCCCCCTTCCGATCGCTCCTACCGTCACTTTCCCGAATCCAATGAAGCGTTTTTCTGTTTCAGTTTCGCTCAATTCGCAAGCGAGTTATTATGAAATAATTCGTAAGCAATTTTTTAGCTCAAGTTTAAACCGAGTTCGAAACTCAGAAAATGGGTTGGAATCGAAGTCACTGTACAGGAGAATCTCGCCATTGGGTGACCCAAATGTCTCAGTAGTACCAGTCCTCGACCAGTGGATCCGAGAAGGCAATACTGTTGATAAATCACGGCTTCGATATATAATTAATGAGTTGAGATTTTACAAAAGATTCAAACATGCGCTTGAGGTTTGCATATTATTATTAATAATGTCTTCTTTATCTCTGGCTTTAGGTTGAGTTTTGGTTGATTTAAGCTAATGGGTTAGTTAAATATTTTGTTTTGATTTAATTTTAATTATTTGCATCTTGTTAATGTTTAATATGTTTTACCCTTTAATTTTGTAGTGTGTGTACAAAACTGTTTGCTTCATCCATTGACCTGTATATTGTGATTTCTACTGTTTTTAATAGAAGACATATTTAGAGTTTGTTTGGGTCAGCTTAAAATTAAGTAAAAAAAATGGTTACTTATATTTCCAATCATGTTTTGAGAGGTTGCTTAAAGAAAATTACTTTTTCAAGTTTGGCCAAGCACGCTCTTTCAAGAGAAGTTTTTGAACCATGAAAAATTAATGTTGCAAGAAAAAATGAGACAGGAATTGATGAATCGATAAGATACATATATATCAAGAACAATGATTGAATAGAAATTTAAGTATAGGATCCTAGGAAATGCTATTTCTGAAGAATAATTAAAAGCAACAATGTTCTCCCCTTAACCAAATTTGATTTTTTGTTTTTTTTGAGAAAATTATCTAAAGAAGTAAATGTTGCCATGATGATCGGAAGTATAGAGATTAGCAATATTGCAGTATCATTATCACATGAATTGATCTCCTGAGTTCTTATCATAACATATCTTCAGGTATCTCAATGGATGACTGATAAACGATACCTTTCCATGAGTTCTTCAGATGCTGCCATCCGAATGAATTTATTGTTTAACGTTTATGGTTTAGAACAAGTTGAGAATTATTTCGACACCATCCCAGCAAAATTGAAAGTCGTTGCTCATGTTTCCCTTCTCAACTGCTATGTGCATGCTAAGTCTGTGGATAAAGCAGAGGCCATTTTGCAGAAAGCTAGGGACATGGGTTATGCTACTAGACCAGTATGGTATAATATTATGATGAAACTCTACCATCAATTGGGAAACCAGGAAAAGCTTGATAGTTTAATCAATGAGATGAAAGAAAAGGGTATTCCTCTTGATCGATACACACTCACCATTCGTTTGAGTGCTTGTGATATGACCTCTGATCCTGCAGGAATAGATAAAATTTTAAGAATTATGCAATCTGATTCCAGTATTGTTCTGGACTGGACTATGTATGCTATTGTAGCTCAAAAATACTTAAGAGTGGGTTTTGTGGATAAAGCACTGGAGATGCTGCATAAAATGGAGAGTTTGATGGATGAGACGAAGAGAAAGGATCTTGCAGTAAGTTTCATCCTCAACCTCTATGCAGAAATGGGCAAGAAAGAAGAGTTATATCGAATATGGAATGAGTACAAACAAAACAACAAAGTCTTTAATAAGGTTTACATGAGCATGATACGGGCGTTAATGAAGTTTGATGACGTTGAAGGCGTTGAGAAGATTTTTGAGGAATGGGAATCGAGAGGATTATCCTATGATTTCCGTATTCCTAACTTCTTGATTGATGCATATTGTAGGAATCATCTTTTGGAGAAGGCTGAAGCTCTTTTAGACAGAGGAATATCGAAAGGTGGTGATCCTAATGCTACTACATGGCGCCTTTTGGCAGGTGGATATATCATGAGAAATCAAGTTTCGAGAGCTGTGGAAGCATTAAAGAAGGCATTATCGACGTATTCTCCAGACCCTAAGAACGATACCTTGATCACCTGCGTCAGATATCTGGAAAGGAAGGAAGACGTGGAAAAGTTCACGGGATCTCTTTGTGCAGAGGGTATTTCATCTGCAGCCGTGGTTGATGAATTGTTTTCTTTTATTAAGGATGAGGAATTAAATTCTTGTGCACAAGAGCAAAAATTGAAGGGCTGCTTGTGATTTCACTTGCCTGGTAAGGGATGGCTTGTGGAGTTGAAAAATCGTCGTGTCATCAAAGCTTGAATGCTTCGGAATCAACGGAACACATGGGTTATCCAATTTCAACCATTGTAGATGCTAATTTTTTTGCGCTGCTTTGTGGTAGGAGAAATAACTAAACCTATGCACGAATAAAAAATGATACAAGTCGAGCCTTTGTAGTTATGAATGAATTTAATTGTTACTCAGAGCTTGGAAATTTGATCTTTTTCGAGGATTATTGCTAAAATTGTATAGATCAGTAACTAAGAGACCATATAAGCCATTAAGTTACTGCTCCATTTGCATATGCATTTCCCATGCACTCGGTGTGGTGATCGCCCTATTGGCAGACTATTTTATGGTTTGATCAATTGGTGTTTAAATAATTGTCTTGTCACTGAATATTCTCCTCAAAAGTTACAAGAGACATAACTTACCCCCTATGGCATGTTTGGTACGGTTTATGGAAAAAAAAGAACTTAAGATTTAATCCATTATACACTTTTGCTCTTATATCATCCATGCTTATATCGTGAAAAAACAAGAAACAAAGCTGTCCCAAGCAGCATCTCTGACTAATTTTAAATAACCATATCAGATATCAGTTCTGGGAAAATGGAGGGAGGAAAGACTAAAATAGAGAGGAAAATAAACGAAAATACAGCCTGCCCGTCTTCAACCCCATGGGGCATGGGCTGTAGAGAAGCTGATAAAAAACATAAGCGGTAAAAAGCCAGCCATTTGAACCCAAGTCCCAATTAAGCTGCAACGGGCATCTTTTCTTGCTTTTCTTTCTTCTCCGTCTTCAAAGATGGTATCTTTTCTTTCTTCTCCGTCTTCAAAGATGGTATCTTTTCTTTCTTCTCCGTCTTCAAAGATGGTATCTTTTCTTTCTTCTCCGTCTTCAAAGATGGTATCTTTTCTTTCTTCTCCGTCTTCAAAGATGGTATCTTTTCTTTCTTCTCCGTCTTCAAAGATGGTATCTTTTCTTTCTTCTCCGTCTTCAAAGATGGCATATTTTCTGGCTTCTCAATCCCTGATATATCTGTTATCCTCAATTTTGTCAATTCCTGAAACAGGGAGACGATGGGAACCAATTTTAAGGTTTTAATTAGAGAATCACCTATCTATTTCTTTGGACAAATAGAAGAAAGAGCAAGAGCATGCACAGAAGAAACAGAAAAGATCAATATAGACGAAATAAAATTCTAATTGATAAATATTTCAATTACCTGACGATGCCCTTTCGTTCTTCTATAATTCTTCCTTCTCTTTTTCTTAAATATTATCACTTTTGCATCTAGTGCCTGCAAGATGAAAAGGTGCCTATCAAAGAAGAAGACCTTCATCCTTGTCTTCCGCGCAAGGAATAAAGATGCTTAGACCTGCTTGGGACAGTGAGAAGGCCATGGAAGGGGGATAAACCATGAGATCGTTTACCCCTCCATCAATAAGCAATTACTTTCAAACAATAGTTGCAGCATTGTTAAATTTCGCAATCACATAGATTATCAACGCATTTAAAACTTTCAAGTTTAAAATCTGACCTCCACAAAAAGCATCTTCGTCTCATACAGACACCGATCCAGTCCATAGGATGACCTTTTATTCTTTATTTTTTTGTAAGTTCGTTATCACTCAAGTTAAAATTAATCATAATGTTTTCTCCATATATTTGTGAACCAACATCTTAAAAGAAAACAAAGTGACCAGTGTTATGAAGCTTATAATTGCCATATTTTACTGCTTTGCTCACCTAGTTCTACATTCATCTTTGGAATTTCCTCCCGATAAGAACTTGAGATATAAGATTCCCTAGTTTGTAAAGGAGATCAGAGGATGATCTTATCAACAATGAAGTTTGGCCCATCAGAATCTAGTTTATGAATTGATTTTTAAGTATAAATTCGGAGGAGTTGAGAGCAACAGATTCAATTCAACTACAAAATGTGCATTATTTATGAAACATAGTCAGATCTCACGCAGGTTGCAGAAAATGGTAATATTCAATCTAGAAGTATCTTACATGCTCCTCAACAACAGCATGAACAGCAGCATCAGGCAAAATTGGTCGACCAATGATTGTTTGGGTTTTTGATCCCAACATAAGAACCTTATTGAGGATCAGCTGCAACAGAATGGTCAGTGATTGCATCAGTTGACATTCCCAACAGAGTTACTCCAATAAATAGTTAACATCAACAAATAGATAATTAAACAAATTCGACTTGAAAATATATGAAAATGGATACTATTAGATGAAAAATCGTATTCCAAAAAATTCAAGATATAACATCCACAAATTAGTTTAAGGCGCAGTATCTCCTCTGATCAATAATATCCAGTGTAGTGGCACTATGTGATTTTGACATAACAAAATAGCAATGTACATCTCAAAGTCTTGGATATTCCATACCAAGGTCAAACACTACAGGCAATAAGACAATGTTGTTATTGTACCTCAAATGCCCTATCTGCTAATGAGCTATGACCCTTCACGAGCCGTAGTAACTAGAGAAACAGAAATGTTAGTCAAAATATTATGAGTGATTGTAACTACTAACGTCAAATTTCAATTTTTAGTTTAATTGGACCTAAAACTAAAATATTACCCAACCAACTGAAGGCCTTCTGTGACTTGTGCTCTCTATCAAGGATTTGAGCATTAAGTCTACAACAGTCTGTGATGTATAGCTAGTCATTACAACCACAAGATTCTCCATACCAATTATTCTACAGGGCAAAGCTGCAATTGATCATCCATCTTATTTTCATTTATAATCCACTACAGGCAGAAATTATTAACCAGGCTCAATAATCAAATTGTTTAGTGCATATAAGCACATGCCAAAGATTCAGTGTTCATGGTAAATGCTGGAGACAGAATGCATACAAATTCAGAAAACCATCAATGTACCTGGCTTCTAGTTTATTCACCGTGTGAACACAAAATCATATACAAAAACATGATGTAGGGTTCCAAAAGAACATCATCGAGAGAGATGGTAAGGTATCCAGCTAGTTACAAACAACAAAATATATGGTGATGTGGACCTTTAGTTATAACCAATCTGAGCCTGAGTTGAAATCAAATTGCAATTGTTTCATGATAAAGCTTTCATCCGGAGACAATGCAGAATTGAGAGAAATTGCAAAATTGAAAAACTCATCTCTTCGTTCATTTATTTATTTTTTTGCAAACTGTGTGAAATAAAAAATTAAAAAGAATAGAGAATTAACACACTAATAGATTTTCTTCAAGATGCTTTTCAGATCAAAATGAATGACAGTTACATAGGACAGCTGAAGCAGAGGACTGGTCTCTACTGGGAGCACCCACCCACCCTCTCAATCCGGAGGCCATAGGAAGAGTGATGCAATCGATCTAGGACCACATTTGCGGTCTGGAAAACAGGAAACCACAGATGCATAGTCTTTCATATGGAAACGAGTTAGAGCATCTCCAAGAGACTATTTTTAAAGAGCATATTCAATAATTAAAAGAGCGTCTATAAATTTAAATAGTAAAACTTTTGAAATACTCCAACAGACTCTTTATATTTAACTCTTAATTTTACTACTCCCAAAAAATATTTATTATTTTTCTCTATCTTTTATTTTAACTAACTTTTCTTTAGATTAATATATTATTTGCCGACATTGAAAACTGAAATACTCTGAAGACATTTAATTATAGAGAGTGAGTTTGGCTCTCTAAATTAAAATGTTAATTTAAGAGTCTCTTGGAGCATAATTTTAAAAGTTGACTCTTTAAAATTGGGAGCATTTCATATTTAAAGAGTCTCTTGAAGATGCTCTTAGGATATAGCTATATATGAATTAGTCTCTACCAAAGGTCAAGAAACCTAGGAAAGAGAGACATAGAAGATCATTTTAGTCCGAAGGCAATGAAAAATGAAGAGCAGATATCAAATTTAGGGCCTACTACCTATATATTCAATCATAAAGAATTATCAAAATTTGAACTTTTAATGATTAATAGCATGATGCTGTAGGAAAATACAAAACTTGGATCTATTTATAAACTGCACAAGGTTTTGCTTAGATCAAAGAATGAGGCATGTTGAGTTCAAGATATCTGTCAAATATTATTGCTAGTAAAGTTCAAACTATCAAAATTTTCCATTTCATTGACAAGCAAACAACAAGATAAGTTATAAGGAGAGAAAAAGTATCCTAGATGTCCTCTCATAAGTAACAAGAAATTTTTATTCTACACTTCCAACAAATAATAGGACCAGGAAATGAGAATCAATGCAAAACTACATGTGAGTTCAATAACCTTGTCATTGACGTTGCAGTACTTCAATTTCTCTGCATATATGCAATCCCCATTGCTCACCTTAAACTGATGTGACCCAATCTAAGCAAACCACAACAGCAGCAAAAAAAAGATTTGAGCAAACACTTCTACACAAGTGAACAAAGTTAAGAAGGAAAAAATACAACCTTTCCAGTATGGCACACGAAATTAATTGGTATTTTGTAAATTATGTTTCAGCAGCTATCTTGTCATAACTTGCTTATTTCCAACTTTCACTAATAAGTCGAATTAATTATTTCAAAACTTCCTTGTTTACCTATAAGTAAATCTTGTAAGCTTGACCAAATATGCTCTTAGCTCCCACACTCTCAAGTCAAATACAAATCTGGGTCCAAAATTCAACAAAAATCGAAGAAAACAAAACACAAATGAAAAATTGGGTGGGATGATTCAACGAACCTGAACCACAGCAAAAACCGGTTCGTATGGTTTGAAGACCCGGTCAGACTTTTGAAGCGGACTTATGACTTTGTACCCTATTTCAGCTGCCTCTTTTTCTTTATCCTCGGGAGACAATGCAGCTGTCTCATTTTCCCTCTCATCATCCGCACTCTCTATGTCTTGTCCTTCGCTTTCATAATCATCATCATCATCTTCATCTTCTTCTTCTTCATCAGTATCATCATTTCGATTTTTGGAACAGAAGTGACGGAAAACTACACTCTGTGCGTTAATATCATTACTGTTGAATAAGCGATGTAGTGATTTGGGAGTGAAGGCGGGGTGGAGAGTGAATTTCGAGGTAGGCGCAAGGAATTGAGGATTCAGGTGAGGAGTTCGGGTTCTAAGGAATTGGAAATGGCGATTTAGGTTTTGAATACAGCGTCGATTCGCCATTATTGTGTCGAATATCGTTTCTTTAGAGGGTTTTATCAGTACAGCAAGGAAGACTATTGCTTTCTAGGGTTTAGTTTTCCGTGAAAAATGTCGAGAGAGATTTTTGGAGCCTAAAGTCGTTTGTGTCACCAATGCGATTTGCCTATTTGAATTAACCAAAAATATTAGTCTATTTTCATATTGGCCCATTAGAATTCCATAAAATTACCTAAAATCCTACTTTTTCAAATTTCAATTTGAAAAATCAGGTATAATTTTTTTTTTTCAATAATCAGATGACAACTATTTTTTTAAAAAACATATATACCATTGATATCTATAGTTGCAACCAAAGAAAAAGTGAAATAAATATAGAGAAGGTGTAATGTCATGCTACTTTTTTATGATGATATCATGATATCATTCGTGAATTCCGATGATACCCTCATCAATTGACACTTCCTCCAAATCAATCAATATGACGTCCATCACCTACTATTCACCCCGCTTTCTCCTCATTGCTACAGTCAGAACCTTCCAACTGAAAGATAAATGTATCAATCAACTTAAAAAGAGAGTGCCGATCGACTAGGGCATCATCAAATTCACAAATGACACCATGATATCATCCCATTAACCATAGATCCTTTCTGCTTTGTGCTATGGTTGCAAATAGAGAGAGAGAGAGAAGGTATATATATATATATATATATATATATTACTTGATTTTTGAAATTGAAAAGTAGGTTTTAAGTAATTTTCTCAACATTAATTGCAAAAATAATAAATGACAACCAACTATAAGGAATGAAGCAACCACTGATAATTATTATTATTATTAGAAAACTTGTGAATATGTACAACAAAAAATGGATAATTAAATATTGTATCTTTTTCAAAATTTATGGAAAAGAAAAATAAAAGCTGCTGTGTAGAAGCATAACTACAAGGCTCAACTTGCACAAATTCCTATCCCTGGAATGAATTATCTTGTACCGGGGTAGGAAAGAATAAAAATTCGCCTAGAACAAAATTTTTTAAGTAGCAGTGATACCCTTGCTGCCAGCACTGACTTTCCGATGATGCCTCGATTTCCGGTCTCTCCCACGCTTTGTAGGAACCTTCTTGACTGGGCTACTTACAATATTGTCAGTAACAGTCCCAGGTGGGGAGTTCAGTTTTTCATCGATAAATGGGGGTGGAGGATGAACAAGAACAATCGCGTCTGGAGGAGGGGAAGCCCAGTTCTCAAGCAAGTCTCTGTGGTACCCCTGCAAAAATGAAAAAGGTGATAAAGTTACGAGCTCGACCAAAAGCTTGCAATATATTTACAACAACGAATGAAATCTCATTTCCTGACTAAAGTAGTGACCTGGCCTGGCCAGGTCATCGGAATAAGAAGGGCCTTCAAACAAAATCATGACAAAGAGGTAACAAGAATCCTTGTTCACCACTCAATTGAGTACATTGTGTTTTTTGATATTTTTCATACTAAAAGGATCACTTATAAGCAACGGATACTAGTTAATCTCAACCGCAGCCAGATTATTTCATTTCCTTCTCAGTCTATGCTTCAAAACATGGAGAAGATCTCCAAGTTACGATATCAGACCATTATCAAACGGATCAAACAATGAGAATATGTTAGCCTGTCATCTACATAGGGGAAAGAAAGAAATGACAAAGTAGCAGCAGAGTCCCTCTTCGAAATTGTTACGGAGATCGTATAATTTCTTTTACTTTAACAAGTTAATGGGAGATCATAAACTGGGAAAGAATGCATAATTTCAGAAACGATATTTGAAAGACAGTAGATTACCTAAAGGATAAACAAGATGTAAAAGCAGTTTATAGGTGGTCAATAAAGTATAGAATAGTTGATGTCATAATCATGGAGCTTACATTTCTTCAAAAGAATAATGAAACCAACGAGATACAAAAGAAACAGATATACACGTTTCAGTCTAACTTCTCAGAAATATGAACTATTGACAAATATAAGAATATCACCTGCACCACGAAGTTGCGCCTTTCACAATCCAAGAACATATTGATAGTGTAATTCGTTTTTGAAGCAATCTTGTCCCTAACAGTCGAAAAACTAATTTGGTCTCTGGAAGTAAAACGATCCACTTCGTTAAACCAAAGACAGGTGAAGAGGTTGGAGATTGGAATGTGCTCCCGTAGTATAACACATCCTTCAGGAACATCTAGAAACCACATTGTCAACTGATATTAGTCCAACATGGAATGGCAGATCTAGTGACCAAAATAAAGAAAAATAAGGGGAGAAAATAGGGACCAACTGTCCTACCACTTGTAATAGGAAATTTATCAGCAGAAAATGGGGTTAAACCCTCGCCTTTATAGAAATCAATCTGGAAGTCAATGGAGGCATTTTCATACTTCCCAGCGGCCTTATTAGCTTCTGCTTCTACAAACACATCAAAACGCTTATAATGCCTCGAAATTGCAAAGCTAGCATTTTTCCTCCACAAGAACCTGTAATATTTGTAAGAGAAACGTCAGAAAACATATCTCTTATAGACACGGGATATGAATAAAAATAAAAATAAAAATCCAGTTTGAAAGTGATTAAACTATTAATGGAACATAATGGGACTGAATATTTTATTATGAAGGTAATTCCATTAGTACTGCTACTAAATAATGGTATATATTCATGGATATATGTTAATTAAGATACATGTAGAATTGTAGATGAACGAATTGGAAGTTAGCCCACTAAATCCACTTCCTCTTAAATCTCACACCACATAACAAAATTTCTCCCTCTGATTTGATGTGCACAACAATACAAACTAAGTCTTATTTCCAATAAATTTGCGGCTGGCTACATGATTCTTCTTTGCCATTCTACTTCGTGCATTGATAGATCTGCTGAAAGACAATAGTAACTAGATTTGAAGTTCCAAAAACTGGAAAGAAAAACCGAAAACAACCAGGACATAAAGATTCACATCCACAATGAAGCCTTGGCAGTTGATACAATCATTATGTGCTTGCTTGGGGGAGCTTTAAGCGTGTCATTGTAGGTCAAGGGACTCAAGGAATGTATGGTTATCAAGTAGATAAAAGTTGTGGGTCCTAAGAAATACACGGATAAAAATTATGTTTTTGAGCTTATAAGCATTTAAAAGCACTATGTGTAACATGTTACCTTGACCCAATCACCTTCAGCTTGCAAAAAGTTGTGTTTGACTATCATTACTACACTTAGGGTCCGTTTGATTGTAAAGATGGAATTGAAAACGAATTTTAGGAAATTGAATTACCTAGAAATTATTTTCCTGAAAATTGTAAATTATTGTGTTTGACTAGTATAATTTTTCACGTGGAAAATGTTGAAATAAAAGTATTTTTTGATATTCGTTTGGCTTTATTTTACATGAAAATTGTCAATTAAATGTATGAAATTTACTGGTATTGGAAATGAAATTTGTTTTCATTGCAAAACCCAAAAAAAAAATAAATAAATAAATAAAAATTCAACTATTTTTGGGTGTTCATTTGGCTTTGTTTTATATGAAAATTGTCAATTAAAGGAAAATATTTTTTTACAATAATTTTTAGAATTTGTTTCCATTACTAAAAATAATAATAATAATAATAATAAAATAAAAAATTGCTACCGTACTCGGGAAAACCAATTCTCACCATATATGGTGGGAATTGATTTTCCATGAAAACATGAAAAACCACACTTTCCAAGACAATCAAGGATTGAAATTCCATGGAAATAATTGTGCTACCAAACAACAAAAAAAATGGAAAAGATGGAATTGGAATTCCATTTCCATGCTATCAAAAACTGCCTTAGAAAAGAAGTCGACTGACGAAGTAGTGTATCTTCATATATGTCAAAGACCTCAGCTAGCATAACTAACATTGCCAAAGTTCAAAAGCAAACAAGAGGCCTTACATTAAAAACTTATAAACTGCGCTCAACTTGTGCAACGCAAAAATTCAAAACATTTTACACCTCAAACAGAAGTTAGGCCACTAATAGCATCTAGCAAGCAAAAACATTATTTAGAATCAATAGTGTAGGCTTTTTTTGCAACACTCGTGTGGGGAATCTTGAAAAATAACATGGCTAAGAATAATAATAATAATAAAAGAACGTTCTGTAACAACATAAACCACAAATTTGGCTACTTATAGTAGATTAGACTTACCTTTCGAGAATCTGATATGGATCCACAACCAGTTCAAGTTTTGCATCAACCCATAGTGAGTATCGGGCATTAGGGAAAAGCCTATGAAGTAAAAGCTTCGGAATCTGACATGAAAGAACATATTCGTTTATAACAATCAGTATGCGTATCAAATGTGAATGGCTGCTCTGTTGCCGAACAGGCATAATGGACTCAAAGAAATAAAGCACAAGCTGAAGAAAGGGTTGCTATCAACAATTCATTAGGTAAATAGTATCTTCATTATGAAAATATGTTGATAACACGAGGCCACTAGATGTGGCATGCATAATAACAATAAGTGCAGGACCAACTATATCAGAAAAAACAGCAGTAGGCGACCCTATTCGACTATGTCATTATCTGACATAGTTTTACATATTTTGTATGACTTTCTCTTCACAAGGAAGAAAAACTTGGACAATCTTAAACAAGTAACTATTAGTAATAAATGAATATGGAGAATAGACCAAACAGAGCTTAAGGAAGCAATGAATAAGTTATCATGCAGAGAGGGGAAAGAAATCTGAACATCCAATTAAAGCGGAATGATATAAAACTGAACAGAATCATAATTAAATTTGAATGATTTCACAACAAATTTGAACTCATGAAGCGTTCTAAAACATATCCAAGAAAGAGCCATTTAAGAGATGGTTGAGCACAGGCAAAGAGAAGCACTAACTCCTTTAAAGAGAGAACTCCAAAAAGGGTTCTGAGATGAGGAATCACACTTAAACAAAATCTTTAGTGGCAGAATAGTGTAAATGTGGTGTAAGGACACTAAATTTTGAAAAAGAAAATAATAATAATTTTAACTTCTCTTAATCTGAAGGCCGACCACCTCTACACCAAGCTTCTCTTCTCTTACAATAAACTAAACTTTAAATAACTGTGTGCTTAATGTAAAATTACTGACTGCAAAGATCTGAGGGCATTCTTCATTAAAGTTCATCTCCTACAGATATTGAATATTGAAATGAAAATCACAGATCTAAAGATCAAAATGGACTTTTATTCAGATTTTATTTCTAGAGATAAGTTAGATTTTTTAAAGTAAATAATTACTAAGAATTTTAGTTTCACCTCAATCCTAACCAATGTGTTGACAGCTTTCTCTTACATACAAGGATGAAAGTAATAAAGCCCTTGTTAGCCCCCTTTTTTTAGAATAAATTTTGTAAAATGTGATTTTTTGGAGAATTGTAGTTAAAAAGTAGGAAAAAAAATTTGGATTTATGTGCAAAATTATTTTATTGGAGAATGTGCGGTTGATAAAGAGTTTGGAGAAAAATGATATTGAAAAATGGGGCTCAAATTATATTTGTTTCTGATAACTTCATCTCCCATGGATAATGATCATTCTAAGTTAAGATTGAGTGTCAATGCAACAAACACATCTAAACACAGAGTGCGGAATAGGTAACCTCGAGATATTTACCTTTCCATTCCGCCTCGGATCAGAGTAAGGTAGGTTGCGAACAACTACTATTCTCCATAACCCAATTTTCTTGCTACTATCCAGCTCATTAGAATTGATTAAAAATGCTTCTGTTTCTTCATCCACAAACATATGGAAGCAGACATTTTTTATGGCATACATACTAATGTTCTTTGGTTGTCGTATTAAATCAAATGCTCCTGATAAGAACAAACATCCTGTATTAATTACCAAAAGATTTAATATAGAAATCAAACATTATGTTGGATCAGTACCAAAAATTGCGGATGTGACAACAACCCCTTGACAACTTTCCATCTCAATAAGGTCGGAATCGTTAATGTCAAAACCTGTCTGGCGGCCAGGTTTGGCTCCTCTAACAAACCTATAGAGAATGTTTAATTACCCATGAGAAAGATAAGCACGTCAAAGAGCAATGTGAGGTAAAATATTCAGAAACCTACCCACAATGGACGCCCATGGACTCTCTTATATCATATGAATCACTCCTCTCTCTCAATGAAGGATATCCACCGAATTCAGAGCCTCCAAACTCGGTTCTAGTTAAATTCTCTTCATAAATATATGTCAAATTCTTAAGCACGGGAGAAAAGGATGGTGCAGCTGGCATTAGGGAAATAGCTTGTTCCAAAGGAAGGTAGCATACTGGACATGCTGGCAAAGCAAACAACAATAAAATCAAGCAAAATGTATAGTTCAGCCTTAAAAGAATAAGGCAATTCATGTTAAATCCAGACGATCTTCACTGCGAAATTGTCCAGTGAAATCGGAATAAGCTGGAATGGATGTGTTTATAAATTAGACAACGATGCATTGACGCCATGCACCAATGATCATTTAGACTCTAGATCTCGTTAAAATAACATGTTAAGATCAAAGTAGGGATCTCGGTTCCTATAGTCTAATACCTAGTTATCTTGATGTTTCCATAAGTGAAATAACATGAAATCTCAGAAAGTGAGATAATTTAAACTTACGACGTGGTCCAGTCCTCTTTCTATCTGCAGGTGGTGGAGGCAATGTAAAACCCTCACATGGATTCCCAGGAGGAAGAATATATCCTGTAAAATACACAGGAGGTGGCGGATATGGAGGCAGAGGTAGGGGGTCTAGATTTGCATTTCCCACAACATTGTTTACATTAGAGGAAAAAGCCGCAGTATGACTATCTTTCTCCCTAGATATCAAAGCGGATTTAATACTCATATTTGACAAAATTGGTTCTTGTGAATCTTCACCTGCAAACAAGCAGAAACACAGATCGAACAAATCTTTAACTCATTAACTGATAAACATTTGATCCCGAAATCACTTTCAACCCACACGCAGCTGATTAAATGACAATACCCCATTCTGAGCAAACTCTGCCAGTGAATGGAAACTCAGATAAAGAAAACCAGCCAACAATAACATTTTAAATTAATTCATGAATACATAATCTGGTGTTCAGGTAGATGCATTGTGCTCTTTCTTACAAATACAGATATGAATTATGCTACAGCGACATAATTATTGACATAATATCACATGAGACCTCATAATTGGATTATTTTAAATACAGTCAGCTTTTCATCCAATCACATCTTGCCAAATCACATTATGTCATACGTCAACCACTTTCTGTCAAAAGTAGCATATAACCATACAGGTATAGATATAAACTAGCACCAAAATTAAGAATGCAGAAAGAATTTCGAAAACAAGAGTTAAGACAGGAGGCCAAACCTTTTCCAACATATAAAACCCAGACGAAAACTGCAGCTGAAACAAGACACAAGAGCAGCATTCCAACCTTCTTCCGGGGAGCGAATTTGCAGATCCAATGAAAAAATTTGTCCTTTTCCTTGAGCATCTTGGCAGGCTTTCTTGGCACCAGAGGTGGAGGCGTCGTTTGGATTGGAGATGACAAGAAACTACTCTGAAATTGCTGTTGTTGCAATGACCCATAACTTCCCGAAGATCGAAGACCCAATGACCCTGTAGTCATTGTTGTCCCGTCAAGTCCAAAATTTCACCTCTCATCTCCCCCCTCCTCTCATCCGCACAAAATCAACTGTTGAAGCTACCCTAAATTCAAGAAGTCTGTAATCTAATTCTTGATTTGTAAAACCCAAACTCTCTTCACCCTCAATTTCAAGCTCAAATCAAAAATTATATCCGATTAACAATCTTAATTACCTTTGAACTGTAGAAATTACCCAAAAATCAGAATCAACTAAATAATCCAATGGCAATATTTCAGTATAGTTATAGACTCTCCAGCAAAGACTAGAGTAATGTGAAACCAAAAAATTGATATTTCAAAAGCAAATCTAATAGGCGACCACTATTATTGAATCGTAATTAACCAAAGTAGAACATAACATTTTTATCCAATTAAAACTCAATATTGATTTTCACTCCACCAATGCTTGGTATTAAGCGCAAAAAATGGGGCTCAAAATCAACATTAAACAAAAATAACCCCAAAACAAAAATAATAATGATAAATTAATAAAAAGGCCAAAAATTTGAGGGCTGGGTTACTTAAGGCTGTGGCGATTGATTTCTAGGGTTTTGTGGCTGATTTAGAAATCTAACAGAATAGATCGCAGTTTACAAGTTCCTTCAATTTTGGAATGTAATTCTATTTTCCAAATAAATTAATTTTTGCAAATTCATTATTGTAATAAATCAGTTGAAATAAAAGCATTGAGGTTATCATCCCATGTGCTCTGAATTTCAGACCGCTTTTGTTAACCCATACGTGGCACAGTGCCAATTTGTTTATAATTTTGACTTGATCATAAAATTAGAAAAGCTGGCTTAGTCACTTATTTAGACAACATTTGTCACTTACCCAACGTTTATTATAATTAAAAAATATTTTTAACTTATATTTGATTATGTGTTTAAGCAATTTTAACGGCCACTATTAACAGAGTAAGCATAGCCCAAATTTTTTGTTAAGATTGTATTTTGAAACAGTAGATTAATGAAAATTGTGTAGTTAAAAAATAAGGAAAAAATTTAAATTTGTATGTAATATTATTTTATTGAAAAATATGCGATTGAAAAGAAAAGGAAAAGTATATATTTTGAAAATAATAGGATCAAACAACGACTAAATTAGTTGTGAAGTACTTTAAGATAAAATTGTTGAATTTTGGCCTAAAGTAGCATTAGCCTAGCTCCCTCGTATAAATATTTAAGATGAAATTGTAGAATTTTGACTCAAATATTAGCATTAGCCCAACTCTAGTTTAAATCTCAACCCAAATCCAATGCTCAATTATTCAAATTGTATTAAAAACACTACAATTATTAATTATTCTTTTCATGACATTCATGAAATATGAATATTTTATTGTCAAATTAGATATTTTATTTAATGCATGTTTGACTAAAATTTACTTATAATTATTAAGTAAATTTTATTATAGATAATTTGTATTGATTAGGTCTCAGAGGAAAATTACTTATTTTAATAGTTAGGGACACTACGTATTTTTCTAAATTTAAAAGTAATTAATTTTTTTATTAATACATATGTTTTCCTTTATTACTAATTCATATTTATAAAAAAAAAATTACTTATTTTGACCATAAAATAGATACTATGATCAAAATAAATAACTTACTATAGATTTGATATTTACAATAAAAAGAATAATTGTTAAAACTTATTTATTTATAAAGTAATATGTATTGACAATAAAAAGAATATTTGTTAAAACTTTCAATTGTTTAAAAACACTGATTGTCAAAGTTACTAGAAGAGTACTCATTAATTAATTTTTTAAAATTTTCATTGGTGGATATGTATTTTTGCTTATTTCAATCATGATTCAGTTAGCTTATGTTTTTTAAAGTAAGCGTTGATTTTCTATTTGGTAAAAAATACAAAGATTTAGTTGAATATATTAATGTGAGACATCTAAACTTTTTTTTTTTTTTAATTTCATTAAGTGTCGTATACTTTTTCTAGTGAATGTCACAAAATGGCCTCCGAAACTCCATTTCTTGTGGTGTAAGTTCATTCAAAAAATTTTAAATTTCAGCTCATCTTAACATCATTTTCTGGCTCTGTCATGTTTCCAAGATTTAATAATTGTTTGAGACTTTATTAAGAAGAAATAATTGATGGTTTCAAACTTGTAATTATTGTATAACTAAAATTTTCTGAACCATTTGAATTAAATGATTCAATTCAATTATCGAATAAAATTATACTTCTTTCGAGTCTTAAAAGTTGAGAAACAGAATTGACAAAGACACGCACAAACGATAGAGTATGTCGTTTAATTCAATGCAAAATAAAAGATCTTACCAAACTTTGGCATGCTCTTTAAATATGGATGCCTTGCAAACATAAACACATGTGACGCATGGTTATTGTTAGCTCATTTTTGTAAGGTGTTGTGTCAAATCGTGGAACGAGCGCAACACTCGTATTTAGTTATCATCATTGAGTTTTGAAGCTGGAACAAACTTCTAGTAATAAGTCGAAGAACGATAAGAATGATATCAAGTCATGTCCCTTATGTCCTAGACGAGTATAAGGTTAAAATCTCGAGTCTAACTACAAAATTATTTATCTTTTACAAATTACGTTGGAAGCCTAAAATTAACCAAATTTGGTTGGTGTGTTGCTATCTAGTTGCTCAATCAAGCAAATGTCATAATTAGCGAACGCTCCTTCTTTGCTCGTTTATAAAGCTTTTGGAAATTGAAAATCGTATTCCTTATTTATGACAATTAACCTAGATTATTCTTTTTCAGTTTTAAAAGAGGTTCTTTTGATCCATTAAGATTCTAGTTCTCTATATAAAATTAAATAAATTATGCTAAATAAAAGACGATGAGAAATGAATAATATTTATTGAAAAAGGTACAATGAAAAGTCAAAATAGAGAACATTATTTGAATTGTATAAAATATTTTGGACAGCACTCTTTTGCCAAAAAATGTTTGTCCACCTAGTTGACATCCACTCACATGCGTGGGCCCGTGTGAATAAAATATGAAAAAAAAAGAAAGTGGGACCCGTCCTGTATTGTGAGTGTCGTCGGTCAGTGAGGGTATCAAACCCTCCCTGTTACAGTAGTAGGGTTCAAAAAATTTTACTCTCTAAACATAAAGAAAATCTTTATTATACATGAAATATTATTTATAAGTCATTTTGAGACGCTCTAACTATATAACCTACAGGAATGGAAAGGCCTAAACAACCATTGGCGGATGTTTCTTTCATAATTTCTTGAGTTTTTGAGAAGAAAATGTGAGTAGATTTTGCTGCAGCCACTCGAGTTTTGATTGAAAGTCACAAGATTTTGGGCTGGAGTCGTAGCAACACCTAACAATTATTCTTTTTTATTTCTCTCCAAGAAATTGATGAAGCACCTAACAGTTTTTCATAATTGGAGGAAATGGCAAAGTCTATTTTATGGATGTTTCCAGGAGAAACTGAGGTTGGAGTGAAGCATATTTCGCTCAAAATTGAGAAAATACTAGCCCCCTTTTTATTGCCGTCATTTGAAAAAATAATAATTTAAAAGTGGAGTTTTGAATAGTGATTTTTTGAAGAATATGTGATTAAAAAGTATATAAAAGTTTTGAATTTACATGCAAAATATAAATGTAATATTGAAAATGAATATGGGAATTAAAGGGTTTTATTTTAAACGAAGACAAACAATGACTTATTAAAATTGTTTGAGTTCAATCTTGAGCGAGAAATCCAAAGGGTCAAGCTATATGTACTCGGGCGTTTACACGTCTGGTTACACTCCCCTCATGGTAGGGGGTCTGTCCATTTTTTTTGTTTGGCGCGGGCCCCCTTCTTGCAAGGGGCATGTAACCGGACGTGTTAACGCTCGTGTACAAATAGCAAAATTCTAAATTCAAAGACATTGATATAGACCTTCTTGACAAGATAAAATCCTATATTCTTAGCAAATTTTTGTACATGTCTCGACATAGTTTCAGCACTAGTTGACATCGTACCCTACATTTGAAGAAATCCACTAATGCTGGTTGAACAAGATTGTTGGCAGGAGATTTAAACAGAGGCACTTCAGCCCTTAATTTTAATTGCATAAATCCTCGTCAAGAGCCCCTGTCTAAGTAGCATCTTTCGAAAAAATCTGATGAGGATTGTCATTTTCTTGTCACTGTCTTGGTCCAACACTTGCATAGGGTAGGTAAAACTCAAATATTCATATAAATACTCCAAATTTATTTAAAATGCACAAATGTTTTGGTATTTTAAATTATTATTAGTCTCGAGAGTAGTAATTATGCCAAAATTTATTTCACTCTATAGGAAGAACTGGAAAAAAGAGAAGAAATGTACAAAATTCGTTACAGTTCACACCACTTCAACCACGGATCTGTGTAAATTAGGAAAGTTTTCCGTCAAATCTACAGTAAGCATGGACATGGAGGCCCTTGGCCGGGGGGAATGGCCAGAATAACCATTCAACAACGGTGGTGTAGGTGTCAACCGCTCACAAATTCTAAGCCACTTGGCTTCCATGTACCGGTGTTTACGCCATGGCGCCATGTGCATTTTCTTCTCCTTCATACATTTTTTGCCTGCTGAGCACAAAATCTTCAATAAGGCAAGTAGTCTTTCAATTTTCCCAACAAAAATTTCTGGTAGTTTTCGAATTAGCTTGCTGTATTCTTCGTTCGCTCTTGCCATTTCAAATTCTGCTCGAAAATTCAATTCGATAATAACCCTAATTTCCCCTTTTTTGGAGCTCGATTTGTCTCTTACATCCAAAAATGTGTGTTCACCTGCAACAATGATTCACCAGAAGATAATGACTCAGTGAGATAATATTACTAATTAGAATGAAGATTTTGATGAATGAAACTCAATGATCAAGGAAGAGCAATAATATTTAGGCCTATGTATACCTGATGGAATATCCGGGGAGCTTCTCCACTTAGACTTGCAAATTGCACTATCAAAACCAGCATTTTGAAGGCGGCGGCACACCTCTTTCATCAAACAATTCCGGCAGCCGGTATTGAATGGTGTTCTTCCGCAGCCACACAAATTCGCTGTCCCTTGCGCTTCTTTAATTGTCTCCTTAGTGATAATACGAATTTTTGACTCTAAAGAACTTGTCCTGCATAGTGTATCCTGTACATGCATACATAGGAACATATTATAAGTATTACATATGACCCAAAAACTGCAAAAATAAATTTTCTAGAAATGCCCATCTTTCATTTTTTCTCGAATGATGAATCGATCATTGAATGAATCAAGTACTAAGGTCAGACCGAAAGGCAGAGTCGATTGATAATGGAAATTAAAAAAGAATAACGCTATTTGTCGTTATTGACCATCATCCTCGTGATAATACATTGAGTTTCAATGTCTTCTCAACATTATGATCCATATAACCAAATGACCCATCGGTACGTGAACCAACAAAGACAGGCAAAGGTTCCAGAACTGTTTCAATAGCATCATAGCACTATATATGGTGTCTTGCAGAGCAAGCATCCAGCAGAATCAAAGCTAAGAGAAAACACTCTCGGTTGATCGCCCTAACAAGTCATATTGGTATTGAATATTGATGACAAATAGCATTACTAGTTTTCCATTACATCTATACCTTATAACATGCAAAGTTATTCTTCTTAAAGCATATAAACTCACTTGTAAAAGCTGATATTGAGTCTCCCAGAAGCTACTATTTACACTGTTCTCATCTCCACTTTTCTCCTCTTCATCTTCACCGTCGTCTTCGTTTTTGCCGTCGACGCTCACCGGCGACAACCCCTCTTCATTCAGAAACTCAAAAACCGTGTCTGACAAATTTATGGCAGCGTGGTCGTCGGAAAACTCAATTTCCCGGCTATCACACGGAAGAATTCGGTGGTTCATGGTAATTCTAGCCAGTACTCTGGCCATGGCCTGTAACCCACTGAGCTTTAATAATACAACTTTTAATTCAGCTGTTTAAAAGTAATTACTTTTTCGAGTTTCAACGATCTAAGAACCTGGCTTTATATACCATGGCCTTGAATATATGGGACCCAATCGTCCTATGTGGGCATACATTATTGATCCACATGGTAAAAGATACTGTTGGTCCAAATTGGTGGACCAGACAGCAAGGATCCACGTCAGTAGGGGGGTCAATAATTCTATCTGGATATATATCCCAAAAATAATGTGATTCATATTAATGTTTTCTTTAATAGCGTTATTTGTTGCTATCCTATCCTAATCCTGTGGTGTGGGCCACACCAATCAAATTGGACGTGGCTGAATCTTGCGCGTCAATTCTTAGGTTTATCCGATATGTGGGGCAGCCTTGTTTGCCACCTGATGTATGATTGTGATCATACGCGGCGTCTCGCCCCCGGGAATTGGTTGTTCAGCAAGTTTCTAAATTTGCCCATGAGATTGTAATATATTATAGTGAAAAGGGGTATTATAGTCATTGCATTTGAGTAATTGTTCTGATTATAATGTTGGAATGACAAGGCAAAACGGGGGGAAGATGTAGCCTAGGGTAGGTTTCACCATGTGAGTAGTTGTAACGGTACGATCTGTAAAATAATTTGTTTTGAACTTAAATTGTATCATTGTTTTATATATGACGTTGAGCATGATCCTAGAATCGTGATTCATATGGAATTTTATTAAGTTTGATCATTTGGAGTTCAAAAGAAACTATACATAAATTTTGACTTGATTTGTGCTAATCATTTCAAGTTAATTGTGTTTGATCAGCTCTATGCTCTCCCAGATTATGCATAATATTTTTCCATTTTCAAGAACTACCCAAAAGAATAGTTGGGTAATGTTGCCCACTTGTCACGATGCATGTCTAGCCATTGATATTTCATTTTATGTGATAGAATAGTCTTGCTTGATAAGAGAAAATAACTGGATATAAGGATAATCGATACCTAATCATCTAAACCAATTCAATTTATTAAGCACAATCGAATGATAATTTAATGCATGTGTAGTTTGATTTATTAGTCATATAATTTTAATTTATGACAATAAAACAAATTCAAATATTTGTTTGGATTTTGAACAATTCCTTGTCTGGCATTATTTCATACGATTTCAAGTCGATACACATGATAGCATTATTGCATAAAAACTTAAAAAGGCCAAAATACACATCTAAAAGTCTAAGACAATTAGTTTAAAATGAATGCATTTGATACGCTCAATAATGAAAAAGTTTAAAAGTGGCTTACTAAATTAAGGACATGTGATTTGTGCTAATTAGATTATTTTAGTAACACGTGAATTTTGGTGGCAAAAGGCAAAAAAAATAATTAAAAAAATAAAAACATACTGCATTATGGTTGTAAAATATGTGTACATCCGTCTTAAAGAAAAGTATTCGTAAATCTAATTAGGGGTGAACAAAAAAATTGTCAATATGTCAAACCGAAATGAAATTATGATTTGAAACGGTTGGCTTGGGTACAAGCAGAGACGGATTTAGGGGGGGGGGGCTGGGTTGTAGCCGGGGGGGGCGGGGGGGGGGGGGGGGGGGGGGGGGGGGGGAGATAAAACAAGATTACCTGTTTTACTCAAATATATATTTATTATTTCAATTTATACTTCAACAAAATTAATAATTTACTTACTAGAGTTGCTTGAAATTGAGTCCTCCCCCTAGAAGGGGTCTTTTAGTCTTTAGTCTAATAGATGATTGAATTCTACAAGAATTCGTTTACATATTTTACTAACATTCTTTGTCATGGAGTGGTTGCGTCTAGTCTAAAATTAGACTCAATTTATCTTTATACTTGTACATCTGTATTTGCTCTATCTAAAGAAATGATGTTTATTGTCGAAAAACGATTTGAAGTCATTCAATAGTAGTTCATTTTTCGACTCCCCTAAACGACTATAATTAAACTCTATACATAGGCCTTATTCTTATCTGCATTATTTTTCTTGATACTAAAGATGATATGCAAGAATTTTTGTCTTATCAAACTTGAGTGGAAATAGATTGGCTTAATTTTCATGTCATGTTTCAAACAGCGTGTTTGATTGTATTTTAAGAAATGTAATCATCAAATTATGTTTGACCAAGTAAACATAATTTCAGATCAGATTCGGACAATGATCGGAGGAAGATAAATAGTAAATTGAGAAAGAGAAGATAGCAACTTGCTGGACTGAAATAGACGGGGTTAAAATGGATTAGAATGAGAAAGGAAACAAAATGCAACCTAATTCTGGTATTTTTTGCACCAATATGATAATTACAGGCAATAAATTTACATATGTATGGATCTCATTATGGCCCATGTTTGGTAACAAAATTATGGATAGGCACGATTAGGTAACACAATATCATCAACGTTTTATTTATTTTTTATGTTTTAAAGTGATAAGATTTGGTAACACGACACGCATAAATATCTTGTAAATGAATTAATCAATATTTAATTTCATTTTTCTAGTGCTCTCATTATTTTCTCTCTGTCTTTGTCTATAAAGCGATTAAGAATTTTTTTTATTGCATTTGAAATTGTTGAATGCCAATAAAAAGGAAACTCAATCGAGATGAGCAAATAATACTTATACGATATGTATTTTATATATTTCTCTAATCTTCCTACACAAACAAAACTAGAGATAAGGATGAGTGAAAATTATATAAAAAATTGCATGGGATAAACTATCTTTACAATGGAAGCCCAATTATAGAGAGTAAGTGCAGCCCAATCGGTACACACTATAAATGTACGGGTTTACATTGAATAACCGATATATTGTTGTAAATTAATTATTATTTGTGAATGATCATTGTACTTCTGCAACCTTAATTATAACCTATAGAATGAGAATGTGGCATTGACCAAAATGAAGGAATCTGTCCGATGGAGGCCAAGAACGATACACAATATGTAGGCTGGAGAAGAGATCGCAACAAGGTCAAAAGTTTGAAGACCAATGGTGCAGTTGAACCTTCTTTTATTTGAATTCATTCGAAACAAGCAATTAGAATAGAGTGGAAATGTATGGTTATGTACATGAAAATAGGGAAACATAGTTGGATTTAGAACTCAATATACAATACCATATGACGATTGAGAATTTATTTGATTCAAACAAACTTATATACATGTCACGGATAAATGAAATGGAACGTCTTGTTGATTTTAACGTACTAAACATGTCATGTAAACTTTTGTCTCCATACAACTGATGAAGGTCTATGGTTAGGTTTAATACTCGATTATACATTTGATAGATTTATCGAGTCGATTATTTTGCAATAGTAATTCATAACATTTGTGATTATCTAGCATTGTTCGATATTCTTTATTATCTCGTTTAGTATGCTAAATGTATAATTTTAAAATTGAATTATTTAATAAGAAGTTTATGATTTAATATTACTAATTAATAAATAATTAAAATTATCTTACCATCATTATCGCTATGGTGGGAGAGAAAAATTATTCGAATTTTTCCTAATATTGGTATCATAAGGCAAAACGCGAGGAGGGTGAAGACTAATTCAAATATTTGTTTGGATTTAAAACAATTCATTTGTCTCATTCGAAACAAGCAATTAGAATAGAGTGGAAATGTATGGTTATGTACATGAAAATAGGGAAACATAGTTGGATTTAGAACTCAATATACAATACCATATGACGATTGAGAATTTATTTGATTCAAACAAACTTATATACATGTCACGGATAAATGAAATGGAACGTCTTGTTGATTTTAACGTACTAAACATGTCATGTAAACTTTTGTCTCCATACAACTGATGAAGGTCTATGGTTAGGTTTAATACTCGATTATACATTTGATAGATTTATCGAGTCGATTATTTTGCAATAGTAATTCATAACATTTGTGATTATCTAGCATTGTTCGATATTCTTTATTATCTCGTTTAGTATGCTAAATGTACAATTTTATAATTGAATTATTTAATAAGAAGTTTATGATTTAATATTACTAATTAATAAATAATTAAAATTATCTTACCATCATTGTCGCTATGGTGGGAGAGAAAAATTATTCGAAATTTTCCTAATATTGGTATCATAAGGCAAAACGCGAGGAGGGTGAAGACTAATTCAAATATTTGTTTGGATTTAAAACAATTCATTTGTCTTGCAATTATTTCATACGATTTCGAGTTGCTACACATTGTAGCATTATTGCATAAAAAGGCCAAAACACTCAACTAAAAGTCCAAGACAATTAGTTAGATATATGTTTTTGATACGCTTAATATTAATGGAAAAGTTTAAAAGTGGTTTATTAAATTAAGGACATCTGATTGGTGCTAATTAGATTGTTTAATTAATAAATTAATATGCATGTGAATTTTGGTGGCTAAAAGGCAAAAATAAATAAATAAATAAAATATCATATTATGGTTGGAAAATATTTGTGTGCATTCCATCTTCTTAGAAAAGTATTCATAAATTTAATTAGGAGCGAACTAAAAAATTGTCAATTTTTTCAAAATGAATGGAAATCACAATTTTAAAATCGTTGGTTTGGATTTAATGATTAAGATTTCAATCGTAACTTATTTTGAAGTACTAAAAAGTATCTAAATTTTGCAAGTTGGTCAAATAGAAGTGTAAGGTATGATATCAAACTCTCCTGAATACCTACCAGCTACAACATAAGTTGTTAAATGTTATCTCTGTAAGACTAAGTCGCAAAATACATACTTCGTCCCAACCTTGATGAGTAGTACGATATAGAGACCTCGTCCTAGAAGTAGTCTTTCATAGAGTCTTAATATAATATATTATTGAATTCTACAAGAATTCATTTTATGTATTTTACTAAGATTCTTTTTATGAAGCTGTTCTGTCACACCTAAAATAATCACCTTTATACTTACATACCTATATATAATCCTATTTAAAGGGACAATGGTTACGATCGAAATATGATTCAAAGTCACTAGTAGTAGTCATTCTGACTTCCCTAAACCATTATGATTAAACTCTATACGCTCTTTATCTACATCATGTTTTTTGCTACTAAAGATGACATGCAGCATCATTTGTCTTATCAACTTGAGTGGAAGTGGATCGACTTAATTTCCATATCATGTTTCTAACATCGTGTTTGATTGTAATTGAACATTTAAATAATAAATTGAGAATAAAAAAAATACAAAACACTTGCGACAGAAGACTCTGATTGAAACCCATTGCAGACAGATAAGATAGTAACCGACTAGAATGAAATGGATGGGAATAAATGGATTAGGATGAGTGAGTTTGTCTGGAAAGCGTGTATTTTTGTCTCATGCCCAGCTCTAAATGGAGACAAAATGCCACCTAATTCTGGTATTTTTTGCACCATTTATGATAATTACAGGCAACAAAGAATATGCACAACCCAATACATAAACACTATAAAAGTTCGAGTTATAACATTAATTAATCAGTATAATGTTTTCAATTAATTATTATTTGTGAATGATCATTGTATCTATGTAACCTTAATTATAATCTTTAAATATGGGGTTTTGAAGATATACACGGGAGTTTCGATTATTTCTAGAGAAAATTGTAGCTACAGTCCAAACTTTTCCATTTTTTGCAAAATTTAACTCAACTTTCACTTTGTGTCATCTACGGTTCGAAACCTTTGAAATATTTATGAGGAAATTATCAAAATAGTCAACTTTTGACTTTGTATTTAGTATTTACAAAAATGTCACTTTTTTTTTTTGACATTGCAAGAATTTCAATTTTAGACAAATTTAGACATATTTGGCCTTAAAGCTAAATTTAAATACCCTACATGTCCTAATTAAATGAGATTTGACCAATCAAACAAATTGTACAAAATTATGCAAGATTGTTAGAGGAAATTGAATTATTCAAGAAAAAAATGCAGAGCAAAAACGAAAATGTATGCTTCAATCCCCCATTCGAAGAACAAAAATGCCGTAAAGGAAAGGAAGAAAAAACGAAATCCCTAAAATTCACTCCTCTCTATGACGAAATCGACCACCGCCGGTGAACTCAAAATGCTGTGAAGGAAAGGAAGAGAAAACAAAATTCCTAAATCCCTAAAACTCACTCCTCTCTACGACGAAATCGACCACCGGCGGCGAACCCAAAATGCTGTGAAGGAAAGGAAGAGAAAACAAAATTCCTAAATCCCTAAAACTCGTTCCTCTCTATGACGAAATCGACCACCGTTGACGAATTCATCTCCCTCACCGAAAATAGAATCCCGAAAACTCTAAAACACACTCTTCAAACGACGTCACAAGTACAGAGTGCGATCTTCTCACTGCTCCGGTCTCTAGGTGTCGGCCACCGACTGCCCAGCACTACCCCTATGTAAGTTAATTTGATTTCTGTGGTTGCGTTTGTTGTTTTTGCCTTTTTTGAAAAGGATTTATTGGGTTTTCATTTTGGTGTTTATTTGTGTGTGTTTTTAGATGTGTTTGTTTATGGGTGTATGGTTTTTTGTGGATTGGAGGTGGAGATGAAAATTGAAGTTGATTGCAGGCGACATCCACCATCATTTACTCCACCGCCACGAATATATGTATTGTACGGCATCACAAGTACACTAGTCTCACCATTTGATTTGGTAAGCGAACTCTGTTCATCAATGAAGCTTCAATCTTGTATGGTTCTATTAATCAAGTTTGAAGCTGTCGGTTTACTAGTATGTAGTTTTTTTATTGTTGTTATGTAATTGTCGTTCCAGTTCTTATTTTAGTACGATGTGTGAGTTCCAATACTTGATCTTAAACTATGAAGTGAATCAATTGAAATTATAACATTTAGTTGCAAAGATAGATGAAGGACTTTTTTTAAGTTTGTATTCCACTTGTGAATGCTAAAAGAATATGTTGCAATGATACATGAAATAATTGCAGATCTTGGTGAATATTCATGTGATTGTGCATGTGTTCATAACTTCTATGATCCTCTATTCTGAAAATTATCCTCTTATACAAAAGCAAAGTTTTCCTTTTAGCAATAGCTACTTTCAGTCCCATATTTTATAATTACGGATGCCAGCTGTTTATATATATATTGTCAAAGACTTAATCACCAACTGAACTTTATCTTATTTTATTTGGGTATCTTGCAATGTTGGCATGTTCTATTTGAGTTCTTGTTGAGTCTATCTTAAATGCACCACGACTGGCTAAGGGCATGTTTACAATTCAGTTAACATGCTAAGTTTGACTGCTATTACAAGAAGAAAAAAAGAATATACGTACAAAATATATTAAATCTCTACAAAACTTAATTTTTTAATTTACAATATTTATATATGCCTACTTTCAATAAAGTTCCACGTATGATGTTGAAAACTTACCTAATGAAGTCAACTGCTTATTTTTGAATACATTATTAAGTTATTAAAGTTAAAGCTCAAGAGAAATGAATATGATTAATACCCAATTCTAAACCTATTGCCATGGCTAATTAATATGATTAATGACATCAGCAATTTAAAATTGTTTAATAAATTAAATTTGAAATATGTTCTTGTTCCTTAATCTATACGGCAAAAAGACTTCTAGTCCACGAAGTTATTAAGAAGATTAATGGTAATCCTTGTGATGACAAAGTGGACAGTTAATTCTGGTATGTACACAATTGTCGCGTCTAGACCAAAACAATAATTATACTTTTCTTCATTGTATTTTCATTATGGAGATGCCTAGCTGACCTCATTAGATTTAAATTGAGTCGTTTTAAGTCCATTACACATAATTTAATTATAACTAGAGAAGACTAAATCGTTTTCAAAGGAGCTTACAATCCTTATCTACAA